ACACACACACACACAAATGCGCACACACATACACACACACACACTCACACACACACACACACACACACACACACACACACACATATATGCTCTCGAACAGACACTCACTGACACAGACAGATACACGTACACACACAAATGCATACACACATATACGTACAAATACACACAATCACACACACTGGCACTATAGTAGTATTGTTTTTGGCCCATGCTTTAAAGTTTTACAAGCGAGGTCATATTATGCTTTTTCTTCTCTGTTGTCTACTTAGAAGGTCGTTTTGTGTGTATAGCGCATATTATGTCAGTCTTTTCACAAACCTTAATACCACAGTCATTTAGTTGTGTGTTTTTTTCTGTCAATCATATAGTTTGCTGTCTTTCATCATCTCTCACATTTTCAACTTCTTTGTTACCATAAATTTCATGAACACCATCATCACCATCGTCATCATCGTCACAATCACAATCATCACCATTACCACCACCACTTTCATCTTCTCCATGATCATGATCATCATCATCATCATCATCATCATCATTTTTGTATAGTAGAAAAAAACAAAAAAAGATCAGATGGAGACCTGAATATTGTTCAGAGAATTTTGTAGAATTTTCTAAAAGTATAGTTCAAGGAATCATCATGATAATCATCTTCATCATCTCAGCATAGTCATCACCATCATCATCATCATCATCATCGTCATCATCATCATTGTCAGCGCCGCAACCATCACCTTTTGGGCCACTTCCTCGTCTAACGTGTCCTTTTTTGTTGAAAACGCCGTAAAACTCTTCTTACTAAAGCTAAAATTTACCTGCGTGTTCTTCTTTCACCGGTTGTCAAATGTGTCCTTTCTTACGCACACACTGACCCGCACAGCGTAGAAAGAGCCCCGTTTATTCTTTGCGAAAACAAACCACCCTCTCTCTCTCTCTCTCTCTGTCAGTCTCGAGGTCAGTCGAGAGGCCAAGGGTTTTCTTAGGGGGCGGGGTAGATCTAGAATTTGTTTTTTATAATCACTTGTTTTCCCCTTTTGATAATAATATGAGCAAACAGTCACCCTCTGCGATACCGCGCTCACAGATAGAGACTCTTAACTCTTCCCTTCCGTTTTTTTTAATGAAGAAAATTCTGGAAACTTCTGGCTTTCCTCCTCGTTCCCGCGACGTGACAGGCAGCGTCCCAGGCGCCAGTTTATAACGTCCGTTTGCCACCTCTAAATAGTTTAATAGCCGCTACGTGGGCTGGAGAGATGGGGGGAAGAAGGATTGGGTTTGGGGTTTGTATTTTGGCGCTTCAGGTTTTCTTGTTTTTTGTTGTTTTTTGTTTTGTTTTGTTCTTTTAGAAAAAAAATTGTGGGGGATTTTTTGCTCCCTTTTAGGGGATGACGGAGAAGGGATGGGGATATAGACAGGCAGAGAGAGATAGACAGAAGGGGAGAGGGAGACTGCAATTGGAGAGATGGGGGGGGGGG